CCCCCCCCCCCCCCCCCGCCCCGTGGCCCGGGAAAATAGAAAAGAAACCTGCATCCCCAACCGGGTCGTCACCGCACTGTCACCTCCGCTCCCTGCCCCTCCCCCACCATCACAGGCAGCACCGAGGAAGTATATGTGTGTGTATTTCTCTATATGGTGACCGCCGTGGGACGAAAGGAGCGCATGTGGAGGACAACGGCCAGGCACGAGCCGAGGCGGCAGAGCATGGACACGCGCGTGCGCGCTCGGTGTACACTCTCCCCACCCACACTGCCGGAAACTGCCGGTCATAGGGGGGGGGGGGAGGAGAAAAGCGCCGCACGAATTGCCACCCCCCGGGGGGCCGGCTCGCGCCCGGACCGGCGCCCGTCCACTACTGGCAAAGGTCGTATGGCCGGTCGAGCTCCTTGCGGGCGGCCAGCGTGGCACGGTGGATCTTGGCCAGCAGGCCGGTGTGCGTGTGGGTGTCGACAGCGAAACCAACCCTGGAGTCCAGGGCAGGGACCACGCGCGGGGGGAGGGCAAAACAAGCAGGGCACATTAGCATGAAGAATCAGGCATCGGGGAAGGGAGCACAGGCTCCGGTGCGGGCGTGGGCATGCGGGCGCACTTGACGTGGGTGTCGTCCAGCTCGATGGCGATCCAGTTGTCCTTGCCATCGCGGCCAAGATCGCAGGACCACCAGGTGTCGAAGTTCAGTGCCATGCCCCAGTGCTTCCAGTCCCACATGTCAAGGACCTTGCCGCCGTAGACGCCGGACTTGGCCGCGGCCTCCGGGCTCGGCAGGTAGCGAGGAGGCGTGGCCCCGGCGAAGTAGCCGGTGTGCACCCGGCGGACCTGGTCCAGGGGGACCACCTTGTCACCGGCAAAGGGGAAGTAGTACCAATGCACGACCAGCCGATCGCGATAGAGGGTGACAAACTCGTCGCTGTGCAGGGGGACTTCGCGCCCGGTCGGGCCATGGGTCGAGGGGGGGGGATAGGTCTTGCCAGTGGTCAGCACCTTGGGAGCCGGGGCAGAGGACAGACAGTCGGAGGACTGCTCGGCCGAGACGCCGCCGGACAGGATGGAGTTCGAGGACCGCGTGTAGTCCAGGCTCGAGAGGGCGGAGCCGGACGACAGGGCATAGTCCAGGCTCGAAAGGGAGTCCGTCCGATCAAGCTGCTTGTCGAAGCGCGGCTTGTCGAAATGCGGCTTGTCAAAGCAGGCGGTCATGGCTTCGGGCAGGGAAGAGACAAGGGAGAGATGGGGTGCTTGGTGGGGGGGGGGGGAGGAGCGCAGGGGAGGGGGGAGGTGACGAGCAGCCTTGACGGAGGGCCGCCGGGGGGGCTGCTCAAATAGGTGTGTGTGTGTCGACGCACCGTCAGCGGAGTGAGACATGTTTCGGAGCTTCAGGCGGGGAGGCACAAGGGCAGCCTGACAGCGCGGAAGGGCCGGGGCATGGCCGTCAGTCGAGATGCAGGGGCAAAGGGAGCGGCGAGCGGGCGGCAGTCCCTGGCAGGAGAAAGCGGGCGGATCGGTGCCCCCTGCCTGGCAAGACCCCCCTGGGCGGAAGAAGGGGGGATGGCCAGGCATCTGGAACGCATGCCACAATGCCTGGCATCGTGGGCCGCCGGATGCCAGGGGGAGGGGAGGGGGGGGGGG